GGGAAAGAGGGACATCTGTAATACATCAGCAATAAAGGTTAAGAAATAATATATGGCTAGCATAGCTTTGGTAGTGATATTCGGACAGTCTTGGTGAGGGCAGTGCTGTGGCTGAGAGTTCATTGAGGTTGCAGTAACTGGTGAGAGGTAGAAGTGGTGAGAGTCTCCGGGAAGTTGCAGCTCAACGTAGAGAAAGCAGTGTTCTGAGAGGCAGTTTAACTTAAGGCATTTGGGAAAGAAAACCTTGCCAAGTGTGATATGAAATGTATATCCTTATGTTTGGGCCCACCTCCCTGCTATTCCAGGGGTTGCAATTAAATGAAAAATACATAGTCATGCCTCCTCCAAGTATGAGAAGCCCTTTACTCATAGCTAGAACTTTGGTGTAGGAGTCTAGGAAAATACTGCTGTTGAGAAATTTATCACTCTTTTTCTCCTTTAGTCTTTCTTAGGATAATTTTGATCATCATTGGACCTCTCAAAAAGTTTAATGCCCTTATATATAAAACCCATTAAATTAGTTTATTGAAAAACAAAATTGCCCTGTGAAAAGTTCTTTTTGTTTTATTTTCTGTAAAAATGCTTCCTGTTACAATTCTTCCGCTACACAGAGAAGAATAAGTAGGATGTGCGGGTTTCCACTTCCTTCTCCTCTCCTCCGCCGCAACCTTGGCACTAATGTAGCATGGTTGCTTTCTTAGCTTGCCTCCACAATAATGCTCCTCCCTCTTAAAAGCCTCCATGCCAAGGGACAATGCACAGCATTCTCTCTTGCAATAGATGCTAATTGTGTGCTTGGTTGGGCTCTTGCTGTCATAGTCACAATCATTGTGCCGGGAGGCTGGTCACAGTGGTTACTGTGCAGAGCGATGAATGCTGTTTACTTGGGATGCGAATTTGTCTGCATCTGTGGGTGACAACACGCAGTCACTGTAATTTGCCTGGCGAGTGATCAGACTGGTATAAAATAACATTATCTGTTCAGCAAGTTAGCAGTCACAAAGAACTATTGATTCCTTTTAACATAGAATTTTTAATGAGAAACTTCGAGTAATGGAGATTGAAGCTGTGAGAACAGCTACCAAGTGTGTGTTGCATATTAACCCCTATTTTTCAGTGTATTTTGGGATCCAGTTTACATACCCAGAAGGTAGGGAGCTGGGAGTGGTCCACTCCACACATCTCTGCTCTGGCTCAACTTAAGAAGAGCTGCTTAACCACAGTTAATTACATATTGGATACGTGGCATGATTGGTGTCAGTTAGGAACTGGGCTTCAGGTAGTGTCCCCCCGCCCCACCATGAAACTTACAAATTCTGAAAGCATAATCACAGTGAATGTAGACACTTTCTTGCCTAGTTCTTTCACCATGAGGAAAAGGTATTTTTTTATGTAGTTGTTGTAAAGGGATGGTATTTAAATCTCAGCAGTGCTTACTGAAATGCTGATATAAAAGGAAACAATTTGCTTTTTAAAAAATAACCTAGGTGATATTTTGCAAGGGTCTTAAAAATCCCAATTTTGGAGCTGATTATTTGCTTGATCAACTACTTCCCATGGTTTCTATCTTTCCACCCGATGCCCATTTTTAAATACTTGCCAACTGTTTGCTCATTAGCATTGCTTATTAAAAGTGATTTGGGGAACACATTTCAAAACAGTCCTTTTTGTATGTTTTTCAAGTTTTGTCAAATTTCCAGAAAATATAAACCTATTTATTGCCTAAAGGTGAAGTTTAACCAAATTTGTATTTTTTATTTATTTTTCTCATCTTGCTTGTGTACATGCCTAAATGGTTACTTTTTAGGAAAGTGGATTTTGACGAGTGCAGTAATTTGTATTCCTTGAAGGGAGAAGAAGTGATGTTTCATGTGACTTATTCAGGTTTTTACGGTTTGGGGTCTTTTTCATGATCCCAAGCACTTAGAAAGTAACAAGGGCTTGGTAATTTTGGAGGAGGGAAACACACTAATTAGCCAGGGGAGATAATGTAAACATTAGATTATTTAACCATTGCAGGTAAAATTCTTTTTTGTTCCTTATTTTATATTATTAAAGTAATAATATGTATAATTCTACCTTTAGATGTTATAGGAATAGTATATGTTCAATATGGAAATTTGGGAAATATTTTTATAAAAAGGAAAAATCCAATAGATCACCAATTAGTCTCTATACTTGCCATCAAAACTAGCAGCCATTAAATTTTGCTATCTGTACCCTCCTGTGATTTTTGTATCACTTTGGCATAAGTCTTGTTTGGACTCAAGGCCATTCAGAAACACAAGAGTCCCTTCAAGTTCCTTCCATAATTTAAGTTTTTTTAAAAAAATGTTATCAACATTTTCTGATATTAAATGGGTTGAAAAATTAACCTTAGGAAGAACATAAGACTGTGTATGGCTAATATTAAGAACATTTCCCACAGTTTGTAAAGATGGTAAGTTTTTTTGAGTTTTTCAAAACAAATTTTCCTTGATATATGGGCATGTTGGCTTTAATCAAGGTGAGACTGATTTACTGCTTCTTAAAGGAGGTATAAATATGACCTTCATTCACAAATTGCCTTTTTTAAAACATACTTTCCCCTTAGGTAAATAGAAGTCAGTTAACTTATTCTGATGAAAAGTTGCTTTTTTGTCTTTTCATTTTTTTTTAACCGCTTCCTTTCCTTCCTCTGACAAGTCACATTCTGCTTCCATGTTGCTAACCGCTGCTCTTTATTTCTGCTTCTGTGACAGCCAGCCGATGGCGGAGTCTCTTCTCTTCAAATGTCTCCCTGGCTTTTCCTTATAGTCCTGTTGCAAGACTCAGCCCTTATAGCAATGGCATTAATACTCCCAGCTTCTCTAAAACCTCAAATAAAGCAATACTAACACCTGAAAGAACAGGTAATGTTTCAACTTCTCGACTAGCTGCTTGCTTTCTTGTCATTTAGTTACTAAACACAGCTTAAATGTCCATCTTGAAAAGCTTGAGAGTAATCTTATCACATGGAGAGTTTTTTTTGCACACTTACCTTGGATATGAAAAAGGCTAATGTTAATTTGTACTTTAACACCATTAATCTGCTCTCAGTTGTGTGTGGTCGGCGGTCTGCCCTTGTTGTCAACAGTATGTGTATATAGTTAATGTGTTTCCAAGTGCCCAGTGTGCTTTTAAAATGAAATGTCAAACAATTCAGTACTTTTTGTTAAGATTCAAAAATACAAGGATTTATATCTTGTTCTTTTAAATTATTTTAGCTTTTTATTGTAGCTTTTTATGCAGCCAGGGCTACATGGAAAATAGACATAGTTGCTCTTTATGAGATGAAGATTCCATTCCTGCAGCTTTCTCCCCTTGGGTCCTATCTTCCTTGTTCTTTCATCTCGAGCTGTTGGTTTTTCACTCTCATGAGTGTCTATCAGTCTCCTGACTGCTCTACACACAATTTCGCAGGTTTTGTAAATGTTTCTGTGTATGTATGTGTGCTTTTTATATGTGATTTTCTTACTTATTTGTAACATTTTAATTTTAAACTATATAATAATTACTACTGAGAGAAGCATATCTGATTATTAATTAAAGTGAACATGGACATGTACTTATACAATGTATTTAAATATATGCTTATCTAATGGCATCAATGATTTCTTTTGTTATTATGGTAAAACAACAACAACAGGATATCTCTCTTCTTTACAGTTTGTATTGGTCGCTTTTTGGTGACATGAAAACAGGGCAGAAACTGGCGATTGTTGATAACATGAATTATAAAGCATAAATAGATATCAGTTCTTTAGTCAAAACAATAAACCTACATCCTTTGTTTTTAGGTTACACCTCCAGGGGCTCCCCTCTCAGTCCCCAGTCATCTATAGACAGTGAGCTGAGCACTTCAGAACTGGAGGACGACTCCATCTCCATGGGGTACAAGCTACAGGACCTCACTGACGTGCAGATCATGGCTCGTCTGCAAGAAGAAAGTACGTCTGTGGTTTTTTTTTTTTTAGACCAGAACACATTTTAAACTAGGGGCTTCTACTAGAACTGGGAGGGCATGGGGAGTTTTCAGGTATTTCTTCCCAGTAATGGGCACACACTTAGGTCCTTTCTCTCATACTCTGTCCTGCTTTGTAGGTGGAGCAGTTAATGCTTCTCACATTCTCATGAGCATCGTAAGGTGTTAGGACATGTTCCGATCAAAATGCACTGACACAAAGACCATTGCTGGGATGGCCACTGTGGAAACAGTTTGACAGTTTCTTTAAAACCAAACCCATGATTTCCACAAGGCCCAGCATGTTTCACTCTGGGCATTTATCACACAGCAGTGGGAATTTGTGTTCACACAAAAACCTGTACTGAACATTCGCAGTAGCTGTTTGTAAAAGCCAAAACCTGGAATGAACTGAGATGTCTCAGTAGGGGAATTGTTAATCAGACAGTGGTACCTGCATGTCCTGGAGCAATATTCACCAATAACAAGGAATGAACCATAGATTCATGCACTCTCATGGATCAATCTACAGGGAATTACACTCAGTGAAAAAAAGATCATCCTAAGAGGTTGTATGCTATACTAGAGGCCCCGTGCATGAAAATTCATGCACTGGAGGAGAGGGATTCCTCAGCCCAGCCTGCCTCCTCTCACAGTCTGGGAGCCCTCAGGGATGAGAGGCGACCCAGCGATCAGGGGAAGGCGATGTCTCATCACACCTCTGCTGCTGCCGCTGCCGTCAGCACAAGCCTCAGCCGGCCCTGGTTACCTGAGCCTGGGGTGGCCCTAGGCGCCTGGGGTGCTGCGGGGACTGGGGGACTCTGGAGGCAGGCACCCCAGCGGGGCTGAGGGGACTGGGTGCCGCCATCTTTGAGGGCGTGTTAGTCAGCATACTCCCTCCTTATTGGCTATGGGCACCGCCTTCTTTGCAATGGCATGAGGGTCAATTAGCATATTCCCTCTTTATTAGGTAGGATAGTTTCATTTATATAACATTTTGGGATGACAAAATCTTAAAAGTGGGCAGTTCATTGGTCACTAGGGTTAGGTATATGGTATAGGATCTCAGGAGGAAGGTAGATGTGGTTACAAAAGGGCAACACAAGGGATTTCTGGAGGTTTTTGGAACTGTTTGTTCAGTATTTTGACACTGGTGGTAGGCACTTAATCCTACAGGTAGTAAAATAGTAGAAAACTTAATACTAACACATACAAGCATGCATGAGTAGACCTGGAAACACCTAAGAGGGCTTTGTGTCACTGCCAGTGCTCTGGTCATCATGTTATCCTATAATTTTGCAAAATGTTATCATTGGGAGAACTGGGCAAAGTACACAAGAGAATCCTGTCTTATTTCTTTAGAACTTCATGTGAGTCTATAGTTATCAATAAAAAAAAAATCAGTTAAATGCATTGGTATACTTTTCAGAATAATTATGGAAGAGAAGATCATTGGCAATGGGACATTTTATCCCTGGTTCTGCAATAAAGTTACAATAAATAATCTGGGAGTGAATGCTTCAAGGACATTTATGGCAGAAAAAGGCACAATACAATGTAGATCACAGAACCTGGCTAGGCTTGTTTTGCAGTTATCTTTTCAGGTCAACATAAGTAGAAACAGCCAACTATCATTTAAGTGTAACTATTTCCTGGTTTCAGAATTAGTCAAGGCTACTATAAGAAACATGGTAATGCTCATGCAGAATTTAATAAGATACATGTTGACGGAAAAGTGATAATTTTTGGTCATTATTCAGTAACAGTAAACTAACACTAACTCTACATCTATATGGCTAAAAGATTAGATGTCAGTTTTCAGATGTTAAGTAGTTAAGGATAGACTGCTTTTAAAAAAAATGTGGTCTTGGCAATGAGATGAATAACTAGAAACTTAAAGTTTACTATTTTTAGGTAGTTGTCATTTAGGATGACCCAAACCATTGTGATATTGAAATGTCACTATGCTTTGGAAAAGAATGAAAGAGGCGGCCTTGTTAGAAAATACATACTTGTACCACAGATTTTGAACTTTGCGCTGGTTTGAGAATTGGAATAGGAGCAGGAGGAGTTCCTGCTTGGGCAGAGATTTGATTAATGGTCTAACTCATAGCAAACAATTTATGATGATGATGAATACTATTTCCTAAGCAGCCTTCCTAAGTACGTATCTCTGGAGCTCAGCAGGGATCATTTGGGGAAATTGACAGACATTGATTGATAAATTATAGCAGTAGGTACTATATTTAATTTTCACTGCAATTGTGGCAATCTTTTTGCAAAACAGAATAGTCTAATATTTTAATAAACTAAGAACACGATAATGGGTCTCTGAATCATTTGGCACAAAATTTCCTCTAATATTTGAACTTAATTTTTGCTAGATTGAAATGTGTCTAATGATAATACTATTTCTTATTATTTTTTAGGTCTCAGGCAAGATTATGCTTCCACGTCAGCATCCGTGTCAAGACACAGTTCCAGTGTGTCATTGAGTTCAGGAAAGAAAGGGACATGTAGTGATCAAGAATATGATCGATTCAGTTTAGAGGATGAGGAAGAATTTGACCATCTGCCACCACCTCAGCCCCGTCTTCCAAGATGTTCACCCTTCCAAAGAGGAATCCCCCATTCACAGACTTTCTCCAGCATTCGGGAATGTAGGAGGAGCCCCAGTTCCCAGTATTTCCCTTCAAATAGTTACCAGCAGCAACAGTGTTATTCACCTCAAGCCCAAACTCCAGATCAGCAACCAAATAGGACCAATGGAGGTAGGTTATGATGCTCTTTTGGTATGTGGTGGGTTCAAGAAATGGTTTTAAAGTCAATGTAAACAGTAGGTAAACATTTCCCAGATTTACTAAATACATTATCAAGACCTTATCAGTTTGGTCTAAATTCGAATCTGTAATTGACGGGCTTCTGATTACATGTCGCAGATTTATAGACCTAGGGCTTCAAGAACACCACCGCAGTGTAGCTGGCACAGAATGGGCCATACATGGGAGCATCTTTTTGCTGTTGCCAGTTCAGCTGTGGGATGGGCAGGGTTGTGCCAGTTGAGCTCATAGTGGATTTCCACGGAGCCTGAGGCACAGAGTTATCCTTTCTCACCTTTCCCACAACCTCCAGCCTCTTCCTGCCTGTTCCTAGCACAGAGTGGTGGATGGTTAGTGCACGATGATGCTTGGAGAGGATGCTGCTTGTCACATCCAGGTTAAGGGGAAGTTGGGCTATGTCTTTCCCTCTGATCCTGACATCTGGAATTAGGATCCGTGTAGCAGGAGGAAAATGGAGGCTGATCTTTGGCATGGTAATGGAAGCTGATTAGCCCTCATGTCAATGTGGTGGGTTGAAATATGTGTCATTCTCTTGGGGGTTTTCTGTCTGCCTCTTCATTTGTCTTCCTTATCCACTCTCAGGAGTTACACTCCTTGACTTCCAACAAATTATAGGGAGAAAAACTGTAATGTTATAAGCCTGGTATGTTTTTTGTACTAATGATCACTCACACACAGGTCCATGTACTATGGAGAAACAAACCATATTTATACAGGTATAGCATCCTCTATAATAAAGAGCCAATATGCAACTGGTCGTCACACCCTCATGCCGTCACACTGTAATGACTCAGACACTCAAACACTGGGGAGAGAGGAATGGGGACCAGCCAGGCACAAATGAGCTCACGAGAAAGGAATGGGGACTAGCCAGGCTGCGGCCTGGGAGAGGGACAAGCCACCCGCCCCGCAGTCCTGGGCACCTGTGGCTGCGGCCAGCCCAGGCAAAGCTGGCCTGGGTCTTGGGTGTCTGAAGTTGGTCAGAGGGAGGGAAGCTTGGGTCCCAGGTGCCTGTGACTGGCCAGAGGAGGGAACCCTAGGTCCTGAGTGTGGGGCGAGGTAGAGGTGGTTAGGGGCAATCAGGCCAGCAGGGGAGCAGTTAGGGGTGATCAGGCAGGCAGGGGGGTTAGGGGCAATCAGGCAGGCAGGCAGGCGAGTGGTTAGGAGCCAGCAGTCCCAGATTGTGAGAGGCAGTTGGACTTCCCCCGAGGGATCCCGGATTGGAGAGGGTGCAGGCCAGGCTGAGGGACCCCCACTCCCGTGCAAAATTTCATGCACTGGGCCTCTAGTTTAATTATAAAGCACCATTTCTCAAAGCTGAAGCCAGAAGTGCTTGAGCAGGTAATTTTATAATATTGCAAAGCCAAATCTAAATATATAAAAGTGTAAGTGACAGTGACCGGTCGCTGTGATATGCACTGACCACCAGGGGGCAGATGCTCAATGTGGGAGTTGCCCCCTGGTGGTCAGTGCGCACTCATAGCCAACCTCCCGCAGCCCCACCCTAGCTGGCCAACCTCTCCCAGCCCCAATGGCCCCAACGGCTGGCCAGGCCGAGGGACCCCACCCATGCACGAATTCGTGCACCGGGCCTCTAGTACAAATTATTTTTGGGTCATTTGTTACCATGTTTTTACTTTTTACCCTTTATTTCTGTGTACTTATATCATTAATGCTAATTGAGAGAGAATTTGAAAATATTGAAAATTTTAGTCATAATTTCACTGTTTTGTACTTTCAGATTTAAAAGAAAACAGTGGTGGCCAAAGAGTGTCATAGTGGCTAGATTATAAAAGCTAATAGTATCAGAAAGACAGTATATGCCATATGCTTAATGAAAGTCATAGCCTTATTTTACAATTGAGGGGGAGGGCACCTTGTGTTGTTTCTCTGAAGATTTTTTTTGTCAGGTGTCTGAGAACGTCATATCCTAGTTGTCTAGCAGATGTTGGCTCTGTATCTTGATTAGTATTGTCAAATGGGATCATTGTCTCACCTTGGAAAAGTGGTTTTGACTTACGTTAAACCCCGTTATGTGCAGGATTAGGTTTCCCCGAACCTGTGCTGTATGACTCAGCTCCGCGTCCGGCTGTGGTAGTTGCATGGTTCCTAAAGGGTCTGGTTTCCTACAAAGGAAAAGGGGATACAGTATCAGAACCTTCATGTGTTACCATGGAATATTTTTGGAACCCAATTGTGAAATGAGAATGGTAACTTTGAAATTAATCCATCAAATATTTTTCTAAAATACCAAAATAATATAGATAGGAGAAAATAATTGTTAAATCACTGATGCATTAAAAATAATAAAAAATAAACTGGAAATATGTTATTTACATTTATTGCTTCTATAGCTCCTACACGGTCTAGGTTCAAAAGAGGTGACTCTTAAGAGTTATTGGAATATTTCTAGGGATCATAGGATTGAAGTAAGCCTTTTTAGAGTAATTTACCAGATAGGAAACATGACTAAATCTTGCAGTTTGTTTACTGATTTGTAGGACACAGCAGGGGTTATTGGTAGCTTGATGATGTAATCACTCTTAGCCAGAGGATCTCCCTGGACCCCATTGACTGTTTGGTGGTAACCGAGTCTTTTTTTTATCCCCTGATTCTTTAGTCTTTATTGCAGAGTGGTGAGTCTTGCCATGCCTTTCCTATGAGAAAACTCATGTGGAATCTTGCCCTAGTCTGTGCATCCAGCTTTCTGCTGCATCTTAGTCCTTAAGGATCAATTGCTGGTTTCTTGTGAAGATAGAACATTATTTTTGATTCCTTGAGTTTTAAAGCGTAACCACACAGGAACCTTATTTTCTTTCATCTGCCCTTTATTTTGATTTTTTTCCCTTTGACTCAAACTGGCCTCACCTAGTGCCCAGACTCACCCACCTCCCTCTCCCTTGCTTATTAATCATTAAGCCCTCGGGACCATGAGGCTCTGGTCAGCATCCCATAGTCCTAGGAATAAAGTCTTGGGTCTGTTGACCACAGGTTCAGAGTTCTGGTCGAACTAGAGATAACAGCTAGTTGTGTTTCAGCTCCCGAACTACCCCACTGACTGCATCCTCGAGAAACCAGACAAAGCGATGCCATAGCTGACATCAGGACCAGTTGCAGTGATCAACTATCCCTACCCTAGTGCCAGCCCATCAGTGGAAACCACGACCCAAACTCCATTAGTCACCATGACTAATGATTTTCCCTGAATAATCCATTTCCTGGAAGCCATCGGGAGTCAACAGTAGCTCATGTGACTCCGGGCATGGCACCATCTTCTTAATAAATCCTTACTTCTTTAAAAAAAATTGATTTGAGGAGGGAAGAGGAGTGGGGGAGATGGAGAGAGAGAGAGAGAGAGAGAGAGAGAGAGAGAGAAGCATTGATTTGTTCTACTTATTTACATATTCATTGGTTGATTCTTTTGTTTCTTTATTGATTAAGGTATTACACATGTGTCCTTATCCCCTGATTGCCCCCGCCCTCCCCCCCCGCCATGTCCTCACTCTCCTGGTGTATGTGTATGTGTCTGTTGGTTATGCTTATATGCATGCATACAAGTCCTTTGGTTGCTCTCTCCCCCTTACCACCACCCTCCCCTACCATCACTCTAAGGTTTGATGGTCTCTTCGATGCTTCTCTGCCTCTGGATCTGTTTTTGTTCATCTGTTTATGTTGTTAATTATATTCTACAAATGAGTAAGATCATATGGTATTTATCTTTCTCTGACTGGCTTATTTTGCTTAGCATAATGCTCTCCAGTTCCATCCATGCTGTTGCAAATGGTAAGAATATACATAATATATGAAGATGAATTATTAGTAAATGTGGCAAAATGAAAACTACATCTAGATGAAAAACATAACAGACGTTTTTGATACTTTACAACACTATATATATGTATATATATATGAAAACTTTTAGAATAAAGAGTTGAAAAATTAATAAACATGAAACTCAATTCATTTTCTAAATAATAACATGTAATTATTTCCCTGTACCTCTCTGCTGCTTAGTCAAAGTAATTTAATCTTGTATTGATAGAAACTCACTTTTTCATGCTAGTCATTAAGATGTTCAAAAATCATATCCTATAGTGAGGATTAAAAAAAAAACAGTGATAAGAGGTCCAAACCAGGTAATAGTAATGAAGATTCATTAAATATTTATGAGACAGACTTTTGAGGACTTGGAATCAAGGGTGAAGAAGGGAGGCAAATCTTAGCAGATTCTCCAGATTTCTGGATTAGGTGACTTTCTAGACAGGGCTTACAATCAACAGATCCAAGTAATGTGGAAAGGCCCTGTGTGAAGCAGAAGGAAATGAATCCAGTTTTGTACTTAAATGAGTTTTGGCTTAGTATTTAAACACTAAAGGCCCAGTGCATGAAAATCCGTGCACTGGGGGGGAGGGTGTGGGCGGGGGCGGTCAACCGTCCATGACACGATCAGGGGACGGCATTGCCCCTCATCACTGGGCCGCTGCCGCCTGGCCTCCCTCTGGGGGAGGCGACAGGATGGGTGATCAGGGGATAGCACTACCCCCATCACTCCCGCTACTGCCGCCACCCTGCCTAGCTTCCTGCGGGAGGTGACCGGACGGGCCGATCAAGGGATGGTGCCAGCCCCCTGCCAGTCACCCCTCTGCCACTGCTGGTCACTGCCCCCTACCCCATCACAGTTCCTTCTCTCTGCCCACTGGCATGTGCCTTGGCTGGCCTGGCACCGCCTGCTTGCTGGCCCCGCCCCTCGCCAACTGGTCGTTATGCCATTTGGTCGATTTGAATATTACATTTTTATTATAGAGGCTATCCTTTCTTTTCTAAGCTCAAGTGACCTGATGTATGTTAGTGGTTGTGCTGTGGGGTTTTTTTTGTCTCTGTGTGTGTGTGTGTGTGTTTGGGGGGGGAGGTTATTATTAAAGAGAAAGCTAACTTGTGGAGTTGCAGTTTTGAAGCAACACTGAGACCCGTGCCTCCCTGCTGTCCCTAAGTGGCAGCAGATGCGCATGGCAAGGAGAAGGGAATGGAAGCATGTCTTTTTCAGGCCCTCAAAGGTTTGGTGGCATGCTCTTGACAATTAAAACTTTTTAGAAGTTATATGGTCATGTCGATGTGATTAGTGGATTTCTCAAGACATCTCAAGTTTGAATTTCAATAATTTCTTCTATTTTGATATGCTAGCAAAAGATCCAGTGCTGGTTTTCACTCTTCTAGGTTTTCATTAAAACGTAACAATTTCTAGTATGTTTTTAAAGCTAAATGGCTATAAGATTATTTTCTAACCTCACTTTGATACAGTTTTATTCACTTCATGTATGTGAACAAGTATATAATTGACTAATCCCTACTTTTTTTTAAATTGATTTCAGAGAGGAAGAGAGAGGGAGAAAGAGAGAGAGAGAGAAACATCAATGATGCCAGAGAATCACTGACCAGCTGCCTCCTGCATGCTCCTCACTGGGTATCAAGTCCACAACCCGAGCATGTGCCCTTGACTGGAATTGAACCTGGGACCCTGAGTCTGCAGGCCAATGCTCTACCCACTTAGCCAAACAGCCAGGGCTTGACTAATCCCTACTTTTTATAGAACTCATGTTCTTTTAGCAGTCTATTTGGTGCAACCTTTCTGGAGACGTTGAGTGTGTATTCCTATACAGAAGGTTAATTCCATTAGCTTTTTATAATTCATAATGAACATGATAATTTTATTTTTGAACAAAATATGATTTATATGTGTACTTACTTTTGAAAACTAGTATTTAGTAAGTGTAAAGTTTGTGATTTTTAACTCAGTAAAAATTTTTTCTCTTCTAGACAAGCTCCGAAGGAGTATGCCTAATCTAGCTCGGATGCCAAGCACAATGGGCGTTAGTAGCAATGTGAGCTCTCCAGTCACCGTGCGAAATAGTCAGAGCTTTGACTCAAGCTTGCACGGAGCTGGAAATGGGCTTTCAAGAATACAGTCTTGTAGTAAGTATATCAGTTCTTAATATTTGGTAATTTTTAGTTGTAACACCATTAAGCACATATCTTACTCTTATATTTCTTCTTTTTCCTCTCAGGAACAATTTTCTCATCTTGTAACATTTTTTCCCCACCATTAAAATTGAGTAGTATTTTTATCAGTGCCTATGTTACCAATTACATAGTAAGTTGTATGTAATCCTTCATATCCATGGATAGCAGCAGAAGCACTAAATGGTGATTAATTATCACACAAAATCTGTTTTCTTTATAGATCTGCCTCTTTCTATCTACTTGATACCTTTACTCTGAAGAAAGCCCACCACTTCTGTCTAGCTGTTACTTTCGTGTTGTTTTTTACTACCCCACAGCTTTCCCCCCAAAATGAAGTTTTATTATTTGTCTACTCCATTTCATCTTACCGCAGTCTGTCATTCTATGTTTTACACAGCAACAAACAGAGTAAGGAGTGTTCAGTCTGGTGTTCATATTTTTACTTTTTGTGGGGATGTCGTGGTTCCAGGCCCCACACCCCATTCCT